AATGTCTTTAAACATACTAGGGGAGCAGTTCAGTTTGAAAAGTTAATACTATTTCATAACAGGAATACACACAATCTAATATTTTAGTGAAAGAACACAGCTTTGGGGTCAGAAATCATGTGTCTGCATAGCCCCCTCCCTCCCAACTAACTTCCTTGGGGTAACTTTTCTGAGCCTTTGCTTCTCTGTCCCTGAAATGGAACTGATCAAACCCGTCCTCCTATGTCCCAGATCTTTGCAAGGATCAAATGGAAAGATAAGAAAACACTGTTCTGAGTAGGTGATATTGTAAGTTGCTTGTTTAATAAATTTGCAGGGTCCTTCTAAAGCAGAGCCACCGTGTAGCTTTGCTCTTTCCTCTAATTCTTTAGGGTGAATTAGCTCTTACAGGAGCATCTGGAACACCGGTGACACACAAAGCCCAAGAGGATTTGAATTGGATCCATTGGGGAGGAGGCGGAGGCAGGCAGAGGGAGATTCTTATCCAGGGAGGGCAGGGAACACTCTTTGTGCTTAGGGCAGAGGCCACATGGGATGAGACAGAGTTTGACTTGTGTAATCCAACCTTGTCAGACTCCACAGCCAGCTATTAAAAAAAAAAAAAAGCCTTTTACTAGTTGGGCCTCTCCCTAAGCAAGAGGCTGATACTATCACATCAAGTACATCTTTAGACCAGGCCAGACATCACTTGTTGCTGGCCTCAGACAAGTGGGTTATCTTGCAAGGCTGACTTGCTTGCAGTCAGTCCAGCCTGCACTTGTTGAGTATTGTTGTGTCCCCCTACGTGTTCCCCGTAACACAGGGGAATGACATGTGTTCAGTCAGTGCCTTGCACACAGTAGGAGTGACTTGAAGACTTGTCAGCTGACTACACACACACACACACACATACACCATCACCACAGCAAGAGAGGAGAGGCTGGAGTCAAAGAGCCTTGGGTCGCTAGCACCTGCCTGTGCTCTCTTAACTGGAGAGAGTATCTTTAGCCACTGTGTTCTGACCCCTTCCCTTGGACATTCCCCTCTATTCATTCCCTCCATGCCTTGATCTTATTCTCTGGACTCTGAATTTGAGTCCTCTTAGGTAAGCTTAAATTCCCACCAGCTTATCACCCCCTCGGCCCCAGCCCCCTCCCGCTGAGAGCACCCTCACCAGGCATTCGGGCAATGATTTTTCTTTGCAGGTTCCCATTCTTGGAGGGGTGCTCAGGCTGGGCCTTGCACTCATCAATCTCAGATTATGCACTGGGCTCTGTGCCAGGTGCCTGCGAGTCAGAGGCCAAGCACACTTTTCCCCAGTTCCCCCTTCCTTCTCCCCTTCTCCAGCCATCTCCTGGAAGGATCCATGTCCTCTGGAGTCTTTGTGTACTTCATTCTGGTGGGTCAATGTTTATTTCCTTCCTCATTACTGTCTCTCTCACTGGCCTCCCTTCGAGTCCTTTTTCTCTCTTTTCTAGTCAGGCCCTTCTGTTTCATTTAATACATTTTTTTTTTAATTGCTGTTCTTCCTAATCAGGGCATTCTTTGATTCTTTTGGTATCTTGCAGTTTGGTTTCTTTTCAGAAAAAGGCCTTTGGTGGGCTGCACTGTGGCAGGAGAATATAAATGGAATATCTGTGGCATCTGCTTGTGCCTAGAGAAAGGACTACTGGGGCTGTAGGAGGTTCCCAGGCCTGTTTGTGCTGGGCTCACTACTGCTGCGGTGGCCAGCTCACCTGTGTATGAGCCAGTCCAGACCTATCGAGGCCCTTTACCCGCCTGACAGGATTCAGTTGTTGGAGCTCTGAGTTGTAATCCTGAAGTTAATTGTGGATGACAAACTCCAAGTCACCAACCTTAGGGTTGAGAAGCACCTCAGGGATTTCCAAATGCCTATCTTGGCCTGGCTGCTGTAGAACCACCTGGGCAGGATTGAAAGGGATGGAAGAAAACACCGAATCGTCAAGTGTTTTCTTCTGTGATAGGATCGTGGGTGATTTTATTTTCAACTCTCAAATTTCTTGCTTTCCAGTTTTTCCCCAATGACATACACTGCTTTTCTTATTAATGTAATGTAATTATTAGTTATGTTACTTCTGATTTAAAAAATAACGTCTCGATCTTGTTCAGTATACAAATTCCCGGGCCCCTTCCCTGGTGATTCTGACTCTTGTTGGTCTGGGTGGGTCTGGGGGACTCTGTATTTACCACCTCAGTGGATCCGCCTCAGTGGCTTCTGTGACACAGTCTGGTTTGTGAGTGTAACACAATACCTGCATTTTACTTATAAGGAAAGTGAGACAAGCTGATGGAAAGTACCAGTCTACAGCCAGACCCTCTGATTCCTGGCCCCAAGAAGCACCTGCAGCCCGAGTGCCTTTCTTGCTGATTCGTGAGTCCTGAGACCTGTCACAGGCAGAGGCACAGAACCCAAATCCTTCTACAGGCTCAGCCTTTGTGCCCTGCCTCCTGCTCCTAGGCCTGTCTCTGTCTCTCAGCAAGACCTCAGCTTCCTGTCTGACAGCACTCTTTGGCCTACAGCTGCTTCTCGATACCCCAGTCCCCCCAGATGATGGGAGTTGAGGCCACCATCTTGCCTCATCCCTAAACACGTTAGAGCCCAATAAGTTACCTAGGCAGCAGGTGGTCTTCATAAGGGAATTTGGGGAGAAACTGAGGCTTACGGGGTGAAATTGATCTGGGCCCTCCATGATACATGTGCTTAGCTATGGAGCTGTTTTGAGATGATTTAGCGAAGGGAGGACAGTGAGTCTGCCTGGACTGAAGAAAGGTATATGCTGGCCCCTGAGCATAGTGAGTGTGGTAGGGAAGGGACATTACTCTAGGGCCAGGTGGTCCAGGTTCTGTCCAGATCTTGCTGCTTCCGGGTTATATGGCCAGGTTACGTAACTCTTTCAAATGCTCTCATCTGCAACATGGTGAATGATAATACATACAACCTCATAGTGTTGTGGAGCGGACCAGAGTTCAACTTTTTTCATGTGTCTCAAAGTCACCTGGGGTTCCTGTAAAAAAAAATGCACTCTGTGATTCAGTAGGCCTGCATTTCTAAGAAGCTCCCAAGTGATGCTAAGGCTGTTGGTCCATGGACCACACTTGGAAAAACAAGGGTGTAAAACACTCAGCGCAGAGCCTGGCACACCCACTGCTACTTTGAATGTTATGATCATGGTTGTTATTGTTACTTGACCTTTTCAAACAGCCACCTGAAGAGACTCAGAATTCCAGCAGCCTGTCCTCTCCAGGGACCAGTCTTTTCCTGGATTCTCCTCCTGTTCCACCACATGACCTTTGCACCTGTCCTGGGCAGCAGCTGGGAGGGGCCACGGGGAGGGAGTGCTCTGCCCAGCAGCTGCAGCAGGCCTGAGTCTTCAGGTTTGCAGCTGAGTCCATTTTCACGCTGCTTTACTCTAACCAGATTTTGTTAAGCCGGGTGTGTTTCCTCTTTTTACTCATCTTTGTTTACAAAACACAAGGAAGCCATCAGTCTCCCCAGTAGCAGTCTGCCAGGCCTTGTCTGTGGCACACCCCGATTTCCCTTCCTCTCCTTGCAAGAGCTGTGCCTCCACTTTTCTGGGTTGTTTTCTAGTCTCCCTGCGGCAGGGGAAAGAGAAAGAAATGCCATTGCCACAGACTGAGGGTAGGGACAAGGTCCGTCTCAGCTGACACTTCACCTCTCTTCCTGGCCCAAGGCGGGGTGAAAGGGAACCGGCCACCATGTATGTAGGCAGGATCAGGGAGGCCGGGGCCCTATGTGCCTGTGACACTCTGAGAGTCAGCAAGACCTGGGCTCGCTCTCCATTTCTGCCACTGACTTACTCTAGCCTCTTCCCTTCCGACTAGGAGTTGCCAGGTAGGGGCCAGGACTGTGGTTAGACAGCCTGAAAGAGGGTTCCAGCTGCCTCTGGACACTTCCCATAAACGTGCTTGCCGGCTGGGCCCCTGCAGTGATCCAAGTCCAGCCTGTGCTGGCTCCTCTCTGCACACTAGGTTTTTATTCCCCTGTCCGCTGAGAACGCTGCGGAGAGGGGCCCCAGCCCAGCCCTCCTACCCTGGTAGACAAAGACAGAACAAAGACTGTCTCTCCAGCACCCCTCTGGCCCCTCTGGCCCTCTGCTGGCCCCTGGGAAATGGTACCTGTGTGGGCGGGGCACCAGCCACAATCCTGGGAGCCACTGACCCATGACCTTTGCCCCCAGCTTCCCTGCCTGACAGTAGGACCTGGGATAACCTCCAGAGAGTAGTGTGCATTCTTTGTTTTTGTTTTGTTTTCAAGTATGTTCTTGCTTAACGTTTAATTGGCTCCAGTCAGTAGGAAAGCGCTCCAAGAGGGATTATTTATGGCTTACTGTCAAGAGCAGCTATAAAAAGGGCAGCACTGAGCTGGAGATGCAGGGAAGGGAGAGCGGGTGGTGTGCAAATGTGTGTGTGTGTCTGTGTGTGTGTCTGTGTGTGTGCGTGTTTGCACTGGATGAAATCAGATTTTTGCTGCCTCAGCAGTGTGGTTTAAATTGAAGATTAACCCTTTGACCTTCACAGTGTCAAATCACTTGCAGATGGAGGCTCCCCCCTTCCCCCCTTGTTCTCTGTGTTACTTTGCAGTTGAGGGGAGAGGGGGGTACTTCTTCTCTTTCTTTCTAAAGAAAGTTTGTTGTTCATGCAGCTGAGGTTTGCGGGGCTCAGGAGCCAATCTGATTAAAAGCAGCACTTGGCTAAACTCTGGAAAATCCTGCAAGCAGGGGAAAAAGTTTAATCCTCTTGTGCACAGTGCATAAAGAGCCTGGTCTTTTCTTTTTAATGCTAAAACTGCAATTGTTTTTGGAGAACTCAACTATCTCATCCTACCCCCACCCCCACTCCCCAGTTTGCTATACTGATAGGATTAAAAGTGCCGCCTGGAGACTTGCAGATCAGAACTTCCATTGAAAATGATAAGGAGCATTGGTCCAAGTGTGTGTTTAGCAGTTCAATTGATTTTTTTTTTTTTTTTTCCCTTTCAGCACCAACAGAACCAAAATCGGGTGTGGTGGCAGATCCTCCTCTTCCTACACAACCTCGCTTTAAATGGGGATGAAAACAGGAACGGGGCAGGTCCCAGGTGAGGCTGGGCTGCCCTCTTCACATGGGGCACAACAGGAAGGACATCAGCGAGGACTGACACTGTGTCTTGTGAAGTTGTTTTTCTTTGTTCGGTGTTTTTATTGTAAAAAGTTCTCTTTGTTCTGTACATAAGACATGCCCGAGTGGGACCTCTCTCCCTGCTCAGGGCCTCAGCCAGGAACGGGGGGCCTTTGTCAAACACTGCTGAAGTGGAGGCTGATGTGTGTGTGATGGTGGGACCTCCTGGGGGGCTTGAAAAGGAGATGCCTCAGCCGCGCTTGTCCGAGATGACCAGGCAGCGTTGTTCTCCATCGGTGGACTATAGCTTTCCACAGAAACTCGGTTAAGAAACAGGAGACTGGATTAGACTCCTGGGTACATCCAACCCATCAGTCGACTACCGTGGATGAGGCCGAGACCCTGATGGTCACCCTGCTTTAACCCGGGCTTCAGACAGGGGCTTTCCCGGTTCCCCTTCACCATACCTTGGGCCGCAAGGAGAGGTGAAGTGTAAACTGAGGCACATCTCACCAGGCCTGCCCGGGTTCTCATTTGGCCTAGCCAGTGCCTGCTCCATGGGCTCAGGGATTCTTGTCCAGCCCCTCTCATCTCCAGCAGACCTCAGGGAGGGTTGGGTTTCTCTGAGAACCCCTCATCTGCCGCAAAATGAACCAAACTTCAGGGTGGACCTCAAATCTCACTTGGTCCCACCTGGAGGCCCCAGAGTTGGTCCTGAGGTGCAGAAACGCTGCCACCTCTGGCTGCCTGGGGTGACCTGGGTGTCAACCACCATGAGCCAAACTAGCAGTCAGTGTGCTATACCAGCAGCTCGTGCCTTTGTCAGCTCTCCTTTCAAAAGACCAGCCAACAGGCTAGCCGCCCGCCCCGCATCAGTGCTCCAGGGCGCGAGGGGCAAGATAGCTGTGGAGCTGGGAAATGTGGCCATCCTGTTGTAAGAGTCAGCCCTTGGTTTCCTTGGAAACAACATACCTCCTCCCTCTTATCCCCAGTCCTTTTCACACCTAGTGGGATACAGGAAGAAGCCAGCACAGTGGCTTTGTTAGCTGAAATGTGTCTTTTAGAATAACAGACAATGATTCGACTACGGAACCGGCAAAGCTGGGTACACATTTCCTGTCTTCCTTCAGCTTCCAGCTAGGCCGGGAGGGCGTGCTCTGGAACTCAGCAAGGTCGCAGCTGCCTCTGAACTTCTTTCCTTCTCTCCCTGCTGTGGCACTAATGGAGAGAGCATTTAAAGCAGCCAGTCTGGCAGCGCTGATAAGACACAGGGAATCTGTTATCCAGACACCTAGAAATTAAATTATAACTTTTGTATACGTAAGAAAAAATAACATTGGTGCTAAAGGTGAAGCGAGGCCCAAAGAAAGGATGGCTCCTCTGGGCAGCAGGGACCCAGGACTACCCAAGGAAACGGAAGGCGTCATCAAATCTGAACAAGCCTGAGCACCTCCAGTTCCACCACAGGCCATCTTCAGTACCACTGAAGGAAGCATTGATCTTCTGGATATACAGGTTGGGCAGGTTGCTCACTGCACAAAGGCAGAGGAAGATAACGGAGGCTAAAATCAAGCAGTATTCTGCTTACTCAGCTGCAGCCCTAGTGGAGGGCTGTGTCTGCCCAGAGGCTTGGGCGCCATTCCTGCTTGGCGCGAGGTTGTTGTATGGGTCCATGGTGGCCCTGAGAGAGGACCTCAAACTGTGCATAAGCCTTTGTTTGATTCTGCTTGGATGTTCTGTAGGTATTACCTCTTCTGGGCCAGAATTAAATTCTCAGGGTGCGTACCATGGTTTGTCTGCTAAGAAGATGGGTTTCTGCTGACAAGCAGGAGCCCAGGGAACAGGCATGAAGACCAGCTCTGGGCCGCGCTGACCATTGTGAAATCCAGCCTTCCCTGCTCATCGTATGCCCAGGACACGTGTTTTCCCCTCACCTGGACCAAAGCTGTGACAGGGTGCTGGTATATCTTGAGCGACACACTCAAGAGAAACAGGATTATTTCTACTAGCCACTGTAATTCCTTTTGGCAAACTTTTCCACCTGAGTTGAGTGAGAGCAAATAAATGGTCTAGGCCTTGGTGCTAAGGCAAAACCATCAGCTTCAGAGACTTTGCCAGGCCCAGGCTGGATGCCCAGTGCCCTGGCCTGAGAACTGAGCCCAGTTTGACAAGTCACCTGAATATGTGTCTGGGGCAGAGGGGGGTGAGGGGGCGGGAGATGGTCTGACTGCACTGTCTACTGTCAGTGAAGCCAGGAACTCACTATCCTAAACAAGCTAGAGCAAAATTGACAACCCTCCCTCCTCCACCCTCCAAAGAAAGGAAAAAAAGAAAACCCAGCAGGTAATTGGGAGAGTAGCCCCAGGAGGGAGAGAGGTTCCTTCTGGCTGGCTGTTTTTAATTGGCCTAGTGATTTAGACTGGCTGCTTCCCCCTCTGCCTGGTGAGTTGGCTGAACATTCCCGAAAAGTCCTGCCTCGAAAGAGGGGTCCTCCCCCTTTGGCCCCCTCTCTCCACTCCCCACCCCCAGGAGCTTGGCTGTCTCTGGTGAGGGGGTGGAGAAGCAGATTTGGAGGGAGGGAGGATCTGACCTGGGTCCTGACCTGCAGCCCACTGACAGCTTGTCAGGCTGGGCTTTTGCTTTCACTAAGGCTGGGGGTGGGAGAGGGACTGGCAGTCTCCCTCCCCATTGTAGAAATGCCCTGGAGGAAGGGAAGCCTGATACTCAGGGTCAAAACAGCCCTTCTAATTCAGGATCCCAGAGTAGGAGTTTTCTGGAAGCCAGCAGACAGAACTGGGGAAGGAACCCCCAGGCCAGACATCTGACTCCCCCTGTGAATTAGATGACTTGACCTGGCCTCTCTGCCTTTGCCTGCTTCAAAGTCTGGGCTGCTGGAGAACTGCCCCCTTGGTCTTCTCTTGCTCAGTCCTAGGCAAAAAAAGATCACCTCCCAGTGACCTCCCCGAACCCTTAGGGTCTGTGTCAAGATCTATGAGGCAGGCATATTCTGGGTGCTCTGAGGAGCCCAGCAGATTTGTCTCACTGACCCCAGAGGCCCCGTCTGCTCTAGTCTGGGCAACACAGGGAGGGGATTGTTTGGAATGAACTAGTCAGGACCTCCACGGCCACTGTGACCATGAACATGTTGCTTGTGTCTTTGGGGGGATTTGAGCAGGAAGAGCGTGGAGCTGGCGAACAGAGCAGGAGAAGCTGGAAGGCTTCTGTCACTTCTCTGGGGCTTCTGTGAATCAGTGCTGCCGCGCAGGCTGGAGGAAGCTCTGAAGTCCCTCATGTGTAGGCAGGGACGTTCAGTGGAAGGCCACCCAGACCAGATTCTTCCAAGAAAGGGTTAACCTGTCTGCCTGTGAAGCCTCCTGGGGACCTGTGGGCTGGGCTGGCGAGGACTTTGAGCCTGGAGGGAATAGCAGAGAAAGCAGAGTTCATCTACAGATGCGGCAGCCTCAGGGGCTGGAGGTGCTTGGAGTCCTGCAGGCTCCCCAGTCAGAATTGCCCTCTGCGGAGGCGGCCAGCACCTCGCCCTGCTCTGTGAGCATTGCCAGTGATCTGTCCCATCCCCGGGTCCACGGACTGTCGGGGAGACCCAGTGAGAATGTAGCATTTCGTTCATCCGGGTCCATTTTCCCTGGGATCTAGGCATTCTGCCTGTGGGAGAGAGACAGGGAAAGAGGGAGGGGATTGGGGACCTATTGTTTCTTAACCTGTACAGAGTATTTGACTTTATGTCCTTCACATACATATATGTGTGTGTATCTCACCCCCCCAATCAGTTGGTACAATTTTTAATAAAAGCATTTAAAGCAAAGCTGGTCCTTCTTTTTCAAGGTGTATTAAAAACGCAAGGGAATCTGTTAGGGAATTAGAGACTCCTAATTTGTATCTCAGCAGCCGTCCTGGTTACTCTCGAGGCTCCTGACTTCGTTGTGACTTCTTTCTCCCCTTGGAGATGAGGAGAAGCCTTCCGACCGCTCAGCGAGCAGTACAGAGGCCCATGAGGTAGAAAGACGCAGGCTTTGGATGCAGACCTGGAGTTGGATTGGGTTCTGGCCTCCACTGGCTGAATGAACTCAAGCAAGTTATGTAACCTCTCTGAGTCTTCAGTTCAGCCACATGTAAAGAACAGCTGTGCCTGCAGGATTAAAGGAATGTGAGCAAAGGACCTGCCCAGGGCCAGCACTCCGGCAGTGGCAGCCTCCACCATGGAAAGGATCCTGGCAGCCCCTCCATACCATTCCCCGCCTCTGTGTCAAACTGGGTTTCAGTTTCCTTTGATCAAGATACCATCTTATGAGGTAGCCTAGTTGTTAGGAGACTTCCCTTTTGCGTTTCTTTGTGGATTAATGATGTGTCTGTTTCAAAAGGTCTCTCTTTTTTTTTTTTTTTTTTTTTGGTAAGATTTATTTATTTATGCATGCAAGAACTGGGGTACAGGACAGAGATGCGGAGGGTGAAATGATTCAGCAGACAGAGTGGGGAGCAGAACAGGCAGATCCACTGAAACACACTGCTGAGGGGAGCAGCAGGCGAGCCAGGAGAGGTCTGCTGCACCATGTGGGTAGCTCCCTGGCTGGGGCTCAAACTCGTGCTGCGGAGGCTGCAGACAGCTTCACAGTGCTGGGCTTAACCACTTGCGCTACCAGGAAGGACCCTGTTTCAAAAGGTTCTGAAAATCCTTGGGGCAAACCTCTCCTGGTTCTATCAGCACTATGCCCTGAGCCAGGGGGCCCGCTGGTCTTGCCTGTGCTAGGCCCCCCCAGGATTTAGGAAGTGATCTGCTCTCTGAGGGCTGGACCTCGACTCCCATTCCCTACTCTGGTAGTGGGGGACTTGAAGTGACATTGATCCCTCTTGTCCGGTTGAACCTAAACACTGAGAAATGAACCTCTTAGTTTTGTGGGTGAGTAAACTGAGACCTCGAAAGGGGATGCAGTTTCTATTTGGGCTTTTTAAATTGCTGAGTCAGTCTGAGGGGGGCTTACCCCAGCCCTCTGTGTTTCCATTTGGAAATTGCAGTGCTCTTGCCCAGATTTGTGGGGAAGCCGAAACTTGTCTATTTTTAATGCCAAATAACTGCCTCTTCGCCTGTAAAACATGGCACTTCTAACCACTCTATATTTGGACAGAAAGGTTTATTTTTACTGGAGTGTGGTAGAAGTGTGGCCTGGTGCCACGATCGGATGTTATTCTACATTTCACTTGCTGGGTTGTAGTTGAGCCCATTAAACAGCTTCTATAAGGAATATAATTGCTTCTATAAGGAATTAGTAGGTGATTAATGATCTTACTGGCTTTCTTTCAAGTCACCTGCCCCTACTTGGGGAAGGCTGGAAACCTAAGAGCTCACCCTTGTCCCTACCTTTCTTTCTGATCCCTCGTCCCTCATGAGGTTAAAGGCACAGCTGCCCAAGTTTGACTCCAGGCTTTACTGCTCACCAGCTGAGCGGCATTGGGCGGATGACATAACCTTTCTGTGCCACAGTTTCCTCATCCATAAAATGAGGTGGTAATTGTACCTACCTCATACGTTTATTGTGAGCATTCAATGTGTGAATACCTGTAAGGTGCTTAAAATAGTGTTTGGTACAGATTACGTTTTCAAGAAATGTTAGCTCTTAATATTATTATGATAATATTACTATTATCACTATTATTTGTAGGCAGTTGATGGAGAAATTCCAGCCATTCTTACTCAGAAGTGTCTTTTGCATCTATCTGCCCTCTACCTCTGCCATGTTGCCTGAAGGGTTGTCCTTTTACCTGGACAATGCAGAGAGAGCCTCTTAACTGGTCTCCTTGCAGCTGTGCCCCTTCTGCAGGGCCTTCTTTATTGCCAGGGGACCTTTCTAGAAGACAGACATGATCCCATCCCATCCCTCCCCACTGGACGACCCCTCCCCCACTTGATCCCTGTTGGATCAAGTCTATATCCCATAGCCTGCCTCTCCAGCTGCCCCTGTGTTAATATTCTGTGTTTGTATTCTGCATAACAAATAAATAAATAAATCCCCAAATTTAGTATTTTGAAGCCACAAACATTTATTATCTCACAATTTCTGTGGGTCAGGAATTGAGGAACTACAACCCGTGGTGGCAGCACGATGAGACACGATCAAGATAGAGACCCTGGAGCACACATTTAATTTATGTAAAGTCAGTGTACAAGCTCAGGGTGGGGGTGGGGGGAGAGGGACATGTTTATAGTGGTGTAGTGCAGCCGCCAGGCCTTCTGCCTTCCACTCAGTGAACACATGGAGCCTGGAGTGATATGACATAGGAACATGTGTGACATGGGATCATGCATGACAGCCCTTTTCTGGCCTCACATTGCATCAGCATCTTATAACACTTGTCAAAAAGAAGTTTCTCTGCTCAAGTATGGCCCCAAATGCCAGTGGTTTCCTCTGCTGCTCAACAGGGAACAGAACGCTCTTCTAAAGGAAAAGCTGGCTGGGATTTCCTGAGAAGCACTGTGTCTGCTTACTGTACTTCATGGGTGTCTGAAAGGATTTTCAAGGGCAGTTTTCACTTTATGTGATTTTTGCCTTACGGGGCTCTTGGAATCGGTTCCTATGTAAGATGAGAATCCCTGAACTCTCAACCCAGCCACTCTCCGCTTAATCTCCTGCTTCCTGGGAGTTTTTACCCTCGTAAATGGGAAGATTCAGAGTAGAATTAGAATTGGAACTGGAATTGGAATTATTCTGAAGGGAGGGTGAGAGGAAGCGGTGTCCTGATTGGCTGCTGCTTTTACTGCCACACAAGTCCCCTAGTTCTGGTGCCACGATCGGATGTTATTCTACATTTCACTTGCTGGGTTGTAGTTGAGCCCATTAAACAGCTTCTATGAGGAATATAATTGCTTCTATAAGGAATTAGTAGGTGAGTCTAGATGCTACCCTGCAGGTGGATCTGTCACTAGCATTTGAATTACTGCCAAGCCCTGCCTGGGAGCGAAGACAAGGCCCACTGGATGAGCCATTGGCACTGGCTGAGCTCCTTACTCTGAGCAAGACATCACACTGGGCCCATGCACAGATTCAAAAGAAACAGTCTACAGGATTCCAGTCCTCAAATCATGTCCTAAAAGAAATCCAGTTGCCCTGAAGCAATAGAAATTCCACCTGGACTAAGGAGACTGGGTTTCTAAACCAACTGTCACACCCTGGCTGAACAGCCTCTAGAAGAGAAGTTATTCACCTCTCCCCTTCTTAGTGTCCTTGTCTATAAAATGGGATAGGGCCAGGCTGTATATCTGTAACCCGCCCAGGATTTTGTGCAACTGTTTCTTTTTTTCCATCTTGAACTGCTTTGAGAGTCTGCTGAAACACTACATGACTCCTCTCCCCAGGAGAAGGCACATAGTAGACACAGATTCTTGAATCTGTGTATATCATTTTAGACAATTTGTTGAGTTTCTTTACCTGTCACTTGGTCCCCAGGTGTAAGGATTCTAGTTTTATCATGAGGGAAAACACGAGAGTACAAGTACTCAAAAAGAGAGACACTAAAGCAAGCTCTTTCTGCTTGCTGCTCCTGACTTTCCTCACACCACCACAAGTCCCCTCTACCTCCTGTGCATCTCACCCTTGGGCACTGTGAGGGAGGGTTGTGCAACCTCTGGAGCCACCCATGTTTATTGTGCTGCCTCCTTGATGTCAGGGTCGCACACTCTCCCATCAGTGTACTCGGAGACTGAAGCTGTGACACCGGTCCTTTTGGCCGCCACGTTCCCAGCCCGGACAGTATTTGTGGCCACAGTTGTCTTTGCAGCCCTTCTTTCTTACCAGCATGAAGATCTATGAGCCTAGGTACCTTTCTATGAGATCAGGGAGAAGAGGGGCTTCTGATGAAGGTGTCTTGGAGGTTCATGCTGAATGAACCTTGAAGGTATCGAAGAACATGCTCTGTGACGAGGGAGACCCAGGAGCTGGCACAGGCAAAGGCCTGGGAGCTTTGGGCACCCCTGATAAAAAGGTTCTTGTTTTTCACCCGAGTGAGCCTGGGATTCTGCTCAGTGAGTCTATCTTTGAAGTGGAGAGGGTTCAGTGCCTAGTCGCAACCCCATTTCTAACATCATTACATTTGCCAAGTGCCTTGAGCACTGGGCACAAATTTCATAGGCGATACACGCACACGCGCGCACACACACACACAAGTAGGTCAGGTACCGTTTTAAACAGTGATCACAGAGAAGCCCATCAGCTTGGCTGCCAGTGGCATTTGCATGTGAAAGTTTTGCATGAGTCTAGATGGACTCAGGGCAGGAACTGGCCTGTCTGATTCCCCACTATCTCTCCAGTCTTGGGTGAAGAACTTCACCCTTGCATGATGCTCTTATATCTAAAGGGAGGAGGGATCAAGTGATTGAAGGAGTGGGATGCGTATCAATGTGATCAGCGAGATATGCCATCCACCACTCTGGTGATATCTGAATCCCTCCGGGGTCCAGGCCTTGAGTGGCAAAATGAACCTTGTTTCTGTTTCTTTCCCTGCCAAAATCTGAAAGTCAGAATCTGCAGACTTTCAGGAAACTTGACTTGCTCATTTCAGTACGATTCAATGCAGCAATTTGTGGGCAGAGGTGGGGTCATACTGGGCTAGTACGGGGGCAGGTGGCCTCCAAGCAGTGCCGGATGGTGTGCCCGGCTGAAGGCCACCTGCTTCACTCAGGTTTGGCAGTGAGCAGAGCCTACGCTGACCAAGCGTCTAGGTCCCCCAACACCTTGTTGCATTCTTCTGCCAGTGGGCTGCTGGTGACGGAGGGTGCAGCCACAGTGGACAGAGTAGCCGCCTGCCAGCTTAGTGCTCTGCCAGCCAGCACCCTCCCCTCTCATGAGGAAGGGCAGTGAGGGGGAGATATGGTCCAGGCAGCCCTGGTCTCTTCTCTGGTTCATCCCGGCCATCCACGACTAGAAGAGGTGGGGGTGGAGGAGGGAGCTGGAGGGAGCTTTGGCACAGGACCAGCCTGCAGTGTTTAGATGTTAGGACTCCAAGGAAGTTCTATCGGATAATCAGTCAAACCCCCGCCCCCACCTCTTGCTCACTGCTTTTGCTTCCAGTTGCTTTGGCCTGCCGCATCTCAGTACTGGCTACAGGAGTACGTATGTCCCTTTTGCAAGCCAAAGAAACTGTTTATTTTTTAAGTTCTCTCTACCACGAGGCACAAACAGAAGCTCTCCCCACAGGAAGCCTCGGAGCCTGACACAAAGAGTTAATCTCCCTCCAGTGGTATCCTATCAGAACCTTGAAACCTGTGTCAGCGTCTCTGTCCCGCTCCCCCAGTGTTTAGCCTCAGGACTGCCAATCGCTTGCTCCTTGCACACAAAGGCTTCTCTGTTTCTGGCCAAGCTAGAGTCACATGCTTTCACTCTTAAC